CCCTCCTTCCCCCTCTCTTTTTTTTTGCCGAGCTCCTTCCCAGGCTCCTTCCCAATCCAGAGCTCCTTCCCAGGCTCCTTCCCAATCCCGAGCTCCTTCCCAGGCTCCTTCCCAATCCAGAGCTCCTTCCCAGAAGGCAGCAAAACCGAAGATCTATTCTGTAACTTTGGATTTTGGCAGTTTCTGAGCCTGGGGAAGGCGTGTGCTCCTGCCATGCCTCCGAATCCTGATTTTCCGCATTCCTCGGGGCAGAGGGGGAAAGGGAAAGGGAGACAGGCAAAGTGCTCCGCCGGATTTGGGGCTCTGCAGTTCAAGGTTGGGATAAAAATTCTGCCATCAAGGAACAGAAACTGCCGGGAAAAGAATTCACCCCAAACCAAAAATTTGGAAGAGGAGGGAAAAAGAATTGGGAAGGCTTGGAGAGGGAGGTGCTGGTGCATTGGGAATAAAAGAGGAAATTTCAGGATCATGTGGAATACGAACAAACCTGGTTGTTTTCCAGGTGCTTGGGAAAAAGAAGTCTCTTTTACAGGATTATCCCTAAAGATGAACAAAATTCCCTGGAGCGTGGAAAATATCTCTTTTCAGGAAGCACAAAACACCCCGGTGTCTCTTTCCAAGATTATCCCTGAAGAGGGGTGAAATTCCCGAAGGGCACCCAGCTCCCCAAGAGCAGCCGTTAAACATCCAGGCTTTAACCTGGAATTTCCTGGCTTTGCTGGGGAAACACCATTCCCATTCCCACTCTCTCGCAGTGGTGTCATCCTCAACTTCCTGCCCCCAGAAAAACTCCTCCGTTTTCCTCCTCCACCGCCGGAGCGATCCCGGAGCTGCGATCCCGGAGATCCCGGAGCCGCGTCGGAAGGAGCGACGCCAAAGCCCGGAGCGTTCCGGGAGCGGGATTTGGCAGCGATTCCTGCCTTCGCCCCACCAATTTAGGCAACGTCCTTAATTAGGAGCCGCACGTTTGGATCCCGTAATCTCTGGCAGGAGCTGCAGGAACAGAGAGCGGCTCCGGGACGGAACTGCTGCGATAACGGGTCGAACTTCCCGCGGGTGGGTTTGGAATCCGAAGGAAAATGGAAACTCGGCGGAGCTCTGGGGAGGGAACGAGCGGCACAGCCCACCCCCCTCAGCCACGGCATTCCGAACTCCCGCGCGCACAAAAACGCCAGGGAAAACACGGATGGAAAACTCCGGGTCCGACGAGGCGGCGATGGACTGTCGGAGATGGGACTGGGTGGAGAAATGGCCCCGCCCCAGTGTTAGTGATTATTTCCTTTCCCTGTGGAAGGGAAGCCCTCTCTCCTCTTCCCTCCTTTTGGCACAGGTTGGAAATACAAGCCCAGCCAGGAAATCCAAGCCCCAGGAGATGCACAACTTCAGATCCATCCCCCAGCAACGGAACACGCGCCGAGCAGACCCCAAAGTCCCTGGGATGGATCCCGGCTGGATGGAATCCAGAGTGAGCATTCCTGGCACATTCCAACCAGAAAAATGGGGAAAAGGTGCATTTAGGACTAAGGCTGGTTGCTCCTGTGATCCCAGTGATCCCGGCAGTTCTCTGCAGGACACATCAGTAGGATTTTTAGCAAATTTTAACAAATATCCCCCCACACCTCCCCAGGGCCTGAGCACAGCGAGACTCCCAATGGATCAGCCATCCCAGAGTCACCCCTTGCTCAGACCAGAAGGAGCCAGAGCCTCACCCAAACTATTCCATGGTCACACACACCCATGGGAACGGAGGGAAAGCCTCATCCCAACGTTCCAATGGACCCTCCTGGCACTAACACCGACCTCCAGCCTTCCAGGCGGTGGGAAAAGCCGGGTTCAGTCAATCCCTGCAGCCTGTAAACCCTTCCCAACAGGAATTCAGACCTCTAACACTGAACACCCACCTAAAACAAGGGGAAAGTCATAAAACCCCCCAGAGCTGCCACTCCCTCAAGGCCTCTTCCAGAGCAACTCCAAGTACCAGGTCTGGGAAGGGACTCAGCAGGAGCATCCCAGAGCATCCCGGCCCTGCAGGGGCAGGACCACACTCCCTGCTCAGGTGCCATCAGGGGAATTAGGAGATTGAGGGAGGAATTCCAGAGGACACAAGGTCCAAGAGCTCAATGTCCCTCAGCTCCACTGTGGGGGGAAATAAACCACCAAAAACGTTGAGCTGAAGCGTTTCACCGGAACCAACTGCAGAGCAGCAAAACCGGATCCATTGGAAGTTCCAGGATCTGGATTTATGGGGTTTTAGTTCCCTTATTTTGTCAGATTTCCATCGTGCTGAACATCTGCTGCAGAAACAGAAAATAAATGTCTTTGCAAGGGCCAAATCCCAACTCCAGGTCAGCCACGACCAGCGGCTCCAGGGTGTTTATAAAGGTACTTCCAGAAATATTTTAGGAGCAGCAAACTCTGACGTCTCTCCCCCGGATCTGCCACGTGATGTTTTGCAGGAACTGAGTCGGGAGCCAGGACTCCACTCCCAGGGCTCTGCTCCCTGCCCGGCCCCTCTGCCACACCCGGGCCCTGTGGGGACACAGGGACCCCCAGGCTGGACCCCCAGAGCCCTCGGGGACCTGCAGGTGAGGCAGGAGCTGCCCAAATCCACAGGAGGTGTGATCCTGCCAGACCCATCCTGATGTTTTTTGCTCCCATCACTGGGAAGCTGCAGGAGCAGAGTGGCCAATGGACATGTATGGAACCCCCAAACCCAAATCCCCCAAATCCCTGGAATTTGGCAGCACTCAGGGCTAAGGAGGGGGACACTGGGGACACCTGCAGCACCCCTGGCTCCAGGGAAAGGCCCATGGAAGGACCCACAGGTGGGACAGAGGAGCAGCCCCAACCTGAGCCCTAACGGAGCAGGGACGAGGAAAATGAGCTTCTCCCATGGCTCAGCTCCAAGCAAGCAGGTCCCGAAGGTCCTGGAGGAGGTTCCTGGCTTCCTCCTGCTCCCCAGGACGGTGGGAGCTGCCTCCATCCCATCCCACACCCCGGTCCCAGCCCGGCAGGTTACCTAACGCCGCCGGAACAGCCGCGCCGGGATTAGCGGGACCGCGCTGAACCCGACCTGACCTGACACCTGTGCTGTGCTCACTAAGCTCCCACCAGGGGCTGCATGGACCACACAGCTCCAGCCTCATCCAGGGTGGGAATCAACCTGGCTCAGCATCAGCATCAGCATCACCACCATCACAGAACCTCCATCAGCAAAGCCCAAACTCCAGTTATTCCCGATAAAACTGGTGGTGCAGGACACCCCACGAGCTCCGAGGCTCTCTCAGCCCGAAGGAAGGGTGCTGTGGGTGCAGGAGGAAGTCTGAGAGGGGGAAAAACAGGGATATTTGGGACACAGATGGGACAGGCAGCTGTGGCCAGGCCGGATGTGGCACTGTGGTCACACCTCGTGGTACGAGCAGCTCTCCAGGGAGATTCACCATCCCGGGAACTGCAGGGTCAGGAACCTCCAGCAGAGTTCTGGCACAGCCCAAAAGGACAGCACATGATCCCTGCAAGCAGAGCTTTTCCAGCTGGGAAAAAAGGTTCCTAAAACCACATTGGTGCTTCAGGAGTCAGGGCGGGCTGAGAGAGTCACAGTGAGAGTTACAGAAGTCATCCTGCTTTTATAAAGCTTCAGTGCTTCAAATAACGGCTTTATCCTGTTTTCCAGAGCTCCAACAGCTTCCCGGTGCTCCAGACACAGTCAGGCTCCTCCCAACACCCAGATCATCCTGAGCTTGGGGCTGAGGAACCCACTGGAATGACACTTCCAAGAGGGATAAAAGCTGAAAAAGTCTCCAACACAAACGCAGCAGCTTTGCCAAATCCAGGCTCTGCCCCATCATCATCATCATCCCTCCTAGTTATCAATCCTCTGCTCCCAGGAATGACAGGGATTCTCTAAGGACCTGCTCCGGAGCACCGGCAATAAACTTGGTCCTCTCGGCAGCTGCACAGAGGAAATTCCCTTTGAGCCAAATTCTCCTTAAACCAGGCCGTAACTATTTCCAGCCCAGTCCCTGGATCTCCAGGAGCACCAGGCCCGGCACACTCTGTCCTTCCTGCTGTCCCAGGGGATGCTCCAAACGGCCCCTCCGCAATCGAGGCCACGGCAGCCTTATCCCCCATTCCGTGTTTCCTCCCCAGAGCCTTTCGATCCAGGGCTCTTCCCGCCGGGAAAATCCACTTTTCAGCCCTTTCCAGGGATGGGTTTAGGGTGTAACTCGGTGCTGTGGGAGCC